TTCCAAAAGTGGCTGAAACCCTCTAAAATAGTACCTCCCAAAATGAAGTACTATTTTGGAGTGTTGCACTTGTTATGCCTGATCAGGGAGGGAGGGAAATAGGGGTGGACAGCCTCCCTATCTGGCTCTGAGTCCTGGGGCACTGTTGGGACCCTGCTGAGACCTGGGCACTCCCTCCCCTTCCCCCACTCCCCCCCCCACACACTTAAATCATTTCTCTGGGTTCTCAGCTATACCCTCCTGACTACCTCCTGTCCCTATGAAAGAGGAGAAGGGAGGGTGGAAAAAGGAGCCATCAGTTGCTGCTGCCTCCTCGAGCACCCCTGTCTGGCACTAGAGGAGCTGCACAGTTTTGAAACATTCCAGCCAGCAATGGCACAGGGGCCATGTGTGCATAGAGAGGCATGGGACCCTATGTGTGTCTCCTATCTGAAATGTTTCCTTTATAAAATATTTCTAAGCACATTTCACTTGGAAATAGCTTCTTTAGAGCTCAGAGAGCCATGATGATTTATATGAGCTGAGACCTGGTCACACATACACACATGTACAAAATACTTCTTGCTGTTTTCATAAGGTTTGATTCTCATTGCATTTGAGAATTCTTTAACAAAACTGAAAAATGCAATAGTATAAGTATACCTGCAGGGGAAACCCAGATCTCCACTGTCACCCCTAGACGAGAAGAATAAAAATGTTTGAAAATCCAGTATGTATACTGGACTATAACAGTGTTTAATCTAAATACCCACTCTTTGGTTTTGAGAATTCATTAAGACTTTTATCCAAGTTGGCCTTCAGGGATCAGGCTCTGTTTAAACACTAGAACAGTGGTCTCCAACCTTTTCAACCTTTTTAAGTTGGAGATTGCTTTTTGAATTAAAAAGCAAACCAAGATCTACTGTGTGCCACTGCCACCCCCCCACCCCCCACCCCTTCAGGTCAGTCTGTGAGTAGGGAATGGGGGAGCAGATTGAGGCAAAGGGAGAAAAAATTATTGGGGGGTGCGACCCCCCACACTTAAGTCTGTGGGGGAATGGGTGGGGGGAGTGGAAAGGGTCCTGGCGGTAGGGGGGAAGATGAAGCCCCAGCCGTGAGGGAGGGAGTGGGGCATAGGCAGGAGCAAGGGCTGCCCTGAGTGGGGCCCTGGCTAAGCCAGGTGGTGGGACAAGCGGAGGCCTGGGGGGGCCCCGGCCCTCTGCTTGTCCCCCACTCTCCCCAGCCCCTGCTTCTATCCATGCTCTGCTTCCTCCCTCTCGGCTGGGCCTCAATTTGACCCCGCCTCATGGCAGTGAGAGGGAGTGTGACTGGAGAAGGGGCAGGCCTGGCACAGGCAGGGTGCAGGAAGGGGTGGGCATGCAGCCCAGGGGGAGGCATGCCCCCAGATATGCATGCTGATCAGGCCAGCTGCTGTTATGGGCTGGGGCTGGGGCTGGGGCTAGGGCAGTGATGAGCTCTTCCTGGGGAGCTTACCCAAGCTGTGCCGCAAGCGGGGGCCTGTTTGTGCTGTGGGCCCTGGCTGTGCTATGCACTGAACAAGACACCACTGCCAGGCACCGCTGCTGTCCCACTTCTGCTTTATTGCTCTGAGCTGCCAGTCCCAACCTGAGGGTGGCCTGTGTTAGCTGTGCAGTGCTGCGGATGGAGGCAGGACTGGAGTGGGGCACCTGCCTAGGGGTGCTGCCACCTGGCCTGAGCTGCTGCTCCCAGGCAGCTGCCCCACTTCAGTTCTGCCTCTGTTCCCAGTGCTGCACTGCTGACACAGGCCACCCCCAGCTCAGGACAGGGTAGCTCAGAGCAATAAATCAGCACTGGGACAGTGGCAGTGCTTAGCGGTAGTGTCTTTTCTCAGAGGTGCAGCACAGCTGGGGCCCGTGGCATAAACAGGCCCTGGCTTGCAGCGCAGCTCAGGCGAGACCCCCAGGAAGAGCCTGGTGCGACCCTGGCCTCAGCCTGCAGTGGCAGGTGGCCCAGCCGGTGTGCAGATCTGGCGGCATGTGCCCCCGTGCCCTCCGGGGCTGTGTACCTCCACCTCTTCCCTGTAACCTGCCTATACAGGGCCTGCCCCTGTTTCAACCACACTCCCTGTCTCACTCATGCTACAGCTGCCCTTGCTGCCTGGCATTTGGGGGGGGCCCATGCCCACCAGTCTGCACAGTGGAGGCAGCTGTAGTTGTGGGCTGGGCTTTGCGCCCCACGCCCTGCTGCAGCTGGCCCAGGAGCAGCTCGATGCTACATGTCTCTCACCTCTGGACTAAGCCTCATCCCCTGTCTGCCCAGCAGCACGATGCCCATGGTGTTGGGTCACTCCCGGACTAGCTGCAGTGGATTATGGGGCACAAAGCCTAGCCTGCAGAGGCAGCTGCCTTGCCGTGTGCACAGATTGGGGGGGCACATGCCCCCCTGGGCCTCCTCCAGGGTGCGTTCAGCGGTGGGAGCCCCCCCCACGCACCTGGATAAGCTGCCTGTACTCAGCCCTCCCAGCTAGACCCCCACTCACCTGGTGGCAGGCTGCATGGAGGGGGATCGTCCCACTCACCCAACCAGGTCTGGTGGCAGGGAGCCGTGGCTCAGCCTAGCCATGTGCGTCTTGCCGCTTGTACGTCCTGCTGCTTCCGATCACTGAGCCTCTGACAGTAGACCTCAGTCTAGAGTGGGGCTTGCCAGACTGTCAGGTGCTCCCCAGTTGACTGGTAGGTCACGATTCACCGGTTAGTGACACTGCTGTAGAATATTGTTGACCTAAGAACTGTGAGTTGCTTTAAGGTACAATGACCACAGAATTTTTATAAAATGGGAATAAGAATGCCTCTTCTCTATGTCCTTTGTCCGGCTTGCCTATTTGCATTATAATCTCTTGAGGGCAGAGATTGTCTTCAATTCAGTTTATGTACAGCTCCCAGCACACTGGGCTCTGATTTTAGTTCAGTAGTTCAAACTTGCAGACAATACAGCTACAACAGCAGCAGCAGTGGTAACAATTATAATAATGCAAGTGAGAGATTTCTCTATTAGCTTTTGTTGTTATTGCAGTTTTAAAAATTTGTATTTGTGAATGTTTAATAGTTTAATTGCTCAGCAGCTTGCATAATTTAATCCATTTTCATCCCCATTGTAATGGATTGTAATGCATGCTTGAGCAAACATGAACGTAAGTCGCAGATCGTGATCATTCAGTCATCGCACTGGCAAAGTTTCCAGTAAAGTCAATCTGGCGCAGGACTGGGTTTCATACTAGTACGTTTATCATTGAAACTGAATATGTGAAGATACTGCGCCAAATTCAGGCATTGTATTGGTTGCTTTCAAAGTTGTTGCCTCTGCTTCCATTACATCAGTCTTGTAGACATGTGATTGATGTTCAGGTTATGAAGAAATGCAGTTTTACAGCATGTTTCATTGAGATCTGTAGTATGTCAGTATTTTATCAGTTGCTGCAAAATGTAGAGCTGTTAATGGGATCAAAATGCAACCTATGGATAATCATTTGAAGCTGAAGAATGTGATCAGTGTTTTCTAATATTTTATGGTGCCACATCAAATATTGAAAACTGCCAGGTGCTTGATTCTGTATGCCCTGCAGAGGTGGGTAGTTCCTACTCATGCAAGTAGTCCGTTTGACTACGACTCCTTGAATGAGTAAAGGCTACTCATGTGCACATGGGATTTGTACAATTCATAACAGTGGGTATGTGGTCCACCTTGCATCCTGAACAGTGTCATCACTTCTCTTTTGTAACAGAACGTTTAACTTAATACATTAAGAAGAAAAAAGTTTAATCAAGTCACTGCAGTGATGACCCATATTGTTTAAGCCTTGGTGCTAAGAGCTTGGTATCTGGCTGGGAATGTGGTATCTTTAACAGCAGAGCTTACTGAAGATGCAAATAACTCCCCCCCTCCCCCAGAAAAAAAGTAATTTAAAAAATAGATATTTTAAATTTGATTTCCTTTTTGTTTTTCTTTTGTTTGTTTTTTTTATAAATCTGAACAATGTAGGTGTCTAGTCACATACAGGTCTTAGCAAGAAAGAAAGTTCGAGAAATTCAAGCCGCCATTAAGGTACGTTTGGCTTGCCCAGTTGTAGGGGGCTTTTCATCTCCATGGTTACAGGCTTTTCCTTTGTTTCCTCCCTTCCCCTACCCTGCAGGTGTCTAGTCACATTCAGGTTCTTGCCAGAAGGAAATCTCGTGATTTTCATTCCAAGCTGAAGGTATGCGCTTTTCTGCTTTTGGGCTTGTGGTTGCTATGCATTTCACTTCCTGTTTTCCATGGTGATTGGTGAATGCCTGGTGCTGTGATTCTTGTAACCTAGTTTTCTTGCATGTGGTAGCTGTTTACATTTCTCTGTGTTTAATCTCTGATTTCTGCACTAGCATCCACATTAAAAATATTATTTTAACCCTATTCAAATGCAAAGTGAGCTACTCTTTGTAACTTCTCAGCACCTAAACATGATTTTTTTTTAACACATTAGTTTTTTAACAGTTTAGTGATAGATTGTTAGTGCATTTAAATAAAAGGAGGTTTTTTTGTGCACTTGTACACAAAAAAACATTTCTATATTGGTAATTGGAATTGTGATGCTTCTTTTCTTTTTCAAAATGCTTTTAATCGGTGCTTTTGAAATGCTTTCACGAATACTTACAAATAGATTATTTGCTCTAAACGCCAGACAGCACAGTTTATCTAGAAACTGTCGGCTGGGGTTTACAGAGTACTGTCTAGTATCCTTTTAAATTAAATACTTTACATTTGTCTTGAAAACATCTTTTCCAAATTTAAAACATTTATGTTAATTTTATTTATTCTTTGGAGAGTTTGTCAGCATTATGTTCAGGGAATATTACATATGCTTGTTTATTTTAACTCAATAAATTGTACATGCCCCCATTTTTTCAATTTCCCATAAGGAAGTTTCCTAGGCTAAAAGGAGCCTCTTGAAAATGACTAATAAGCATCTTTGCAAAAATTTCCAAGGAAAATCTGGTATTGTGCTGTGAGGGTTTTTTGTTTTTGTTTTTATTAATATTACTTATAATGCAAGGATGTTGTAGATTTTTTTTTAAAAAAAGAAACGTGTAAATCTTTTACTTCTCTTCCTTTTTTTTCTTTTTGCTGATTTTTTTTTTTTTTTTTTTTTTTTTTTTTCCCCAGACAGGGCAAATCTTGTTTTTGTTCTAACTGAAAAAACAAAATGTTTCAGAAAGTGATTTCATAGTACTAAGTGGTGAACACTGTGGATGCTTACCACAGTCCTGGAACTACAGTGTCTAAATAACAGACTGGCTTTATAACAGGTCTATTTGACAGAAGCATTTGGTTTTCAGTATGTAGTGGGCAGCATGCTGGCAAGCTTGTATGGCTGTTGGTGGCTGGCTTTTTAGCTGCACTGGCTGAGCAGTTGGGATTTATGAAGAACAACTAAGACTTAAACATACTGCTTTTTAACCAACGGTGCAATAATACAGAGATGTATAGTAATGTAAGACAAAATTATCAAACCTGGTTGCCTAAAATTAGACATCCAAAGCCAGATTAAGGCACCTAAGTGGCCTGACTTTCTAACACGCTGAGCACCTGCAGCTCCCATTAACTTAGATGAGAACTGTGAGTTCTCCAGACTATGAAAATCAGGAAGCTTATTTAGATGTCTGAATGTAGATTTAGGAGCCTAACAAAATGTTGTCCTTAAGTTTTTTGGAAAAGTTATAAATATGTTTTTTATGACTCCAGCTAAAGTGCCTTAAAATATGAAAATACACTATTTTAAAACAAAACTATTCTTTATTACTGCACCTGCTGTATGATTCCTTCTGAAGCTTTTCACAGAGCAAGGCAGAAAACTAAACCCCAGTGATATTTAAAAATTCCCTTTTCTTAGGCTACTCTGTAGGCATTGCCAATGACTAGACATCAAAAAAGTTTTTGCTAAGGTTGTTGATTTTTAAGGCACTGTGCTAAAAGGGAGCAGCCTGCTAGTATTATTAGTATTATCCATCTTTTATGTAATGCTTTTTTTAAAGCCTACTCTCTCAGATGAGTGCAGAATAGTGGGTTGCAGCTCTTTTAGAGTTGAGTAAGAAGTTCTGTAGTGGACCAGTGAAGTTAACTCCACAGTTCTGGTGCTCCTTTCACTTTCATGCCTTACTAATTCTGACAGTTCTCCACAAGACAGTCCCTTCAGGTCTCTGGAAAATATATGTAGCAATGATACAGAAAGCTTTTTTTTAAAAAGGGGCAGTATCTTTAAAATTCAAATTTGCTAAAAGTTCTGTGAATAGAGCAGCACAAGGAAGAAAATAGGCCGGAGAAACACATTCTTAAATTTTGCTCTGAGAAATAACTGGCTCCGCTCACAAATCATATAACCAGCCCTTTTCACTAAGGGGAAGGGGAGCCCAAGACCTTGCCTGTTCCTCCCATCCCTTAATGGGAGCAGTTTTATTTTATCTCCAGTGTCCTAGCCTCCCTATGGGGCTGGTTTCCATGAGCCAGTGACAGTATTTGACCTCTCGCCCCAAAACAAAGGGTGTCTAGCATGTGGAGGAGATGAGCACATCCATGATTCTTCCCAAGCAGATGGCCCACCACTGCTGCGTTCTTGTTAAATGTGACAGGTTTAAGTAGCAAGGCCTTCTGGATGTGCTTGTCTCTTATAATGTCTGCACGGTCCTATCCAGATAAAATACAGCTTCCACAGATATCTTTTTCCCCAAAAATGGAGGAGTTCAAATTTTGAGGGGGAAGCTAGTTCCCGTGAGCAAGGCAGCTATCATTCTACCTGCACTTTAGGAAGAATCTCACTTCTCCAGATGTTTTGTATTAGAAGGATTGTCTGATTCATGTAGCAATAAAAAATTCTGCATCTAGCCACCCGCACTGCCCAGCATACTCTGAAAATCACCTTCAGGAAATCATTAGAATGGATGAACCGGATAGATTTTGGCACCCAGGGAATTTACATTTACTTTCTGTGCTATTTTAGCACCAATCTGGAATGTCTCCTAGAACACATAAGGGAGGTTATGCATTTTGTTTCTTGTAGGCATGGAGGCGCTAATAGTTTGCTATATGAGCATCATCACCAGCAGTATCATCTTTTTCAGATGCCTTTCAGATGCCTTTGAGCATCACTCAACAAGTAAAAGCTAACTGGATGCATAGTATCTGACATAAGAATGAATATTATTCATTCTGTATCTCAGCCCCTGCATTAACTATTGTTGGCCAGTCATGTAGTCCTACATGGAGCTAATACTAGCAATTACTTTTTTATAGAATAGTTTGGGTAGTATTCAGGGAACCAATCAACACTTACAAATATATATGCCTCCAATTTCTTAATGACTGCATGAGGAGAAAGTCATGTTAATGGAAAGAGTCCAAGGATGTTTTCTGTCTGTCCATAACTACTCATTCAGATCAATTCCTGATTGATGATCTTCCTCAAGTTCTTCATCTCATGTCACAAAACTATTCCCTAACGTGCTTCAATTACAGAGTATCCCATATAAACCTGGTAACTTTCTATGGAGCAGTTCAGCAATTGCTTTGTTGGTGTTTCTAGGGGTATTTGGGACTGAACCAGCACTGAAGCATGCAGGACTTCAGGCTGGTGGTGCTTTATGGTAGATGTACTACCCTAGCCCTTAGTCCAGTTATTCTCAACCTTTGAAGGGTACTGCAGGAAGTGTGAGGAGATGAGCACAAGCTTGGCCACTCCCTACCATCACTGCCCTGGCCCTGGCCCTCTGTAAGGACATAAGCACTGTAAAAAATAATTCAGCTTTTGAAATGGGGTAACATTCAATTCACACAAGTTATGGAAGGATGCCTTGAGTCTAATGAGGGGCACCTTGAAACTAAAAAGCCTGAAAATCACTGCTGTAATCCATCTCTTGGCCAGTAATTTTTGATGTGCCTAACTATTATGTTGGACTGTAGGGCTGCCTATACAGGTGTTTGGAGGTGGTGGTGGGGAGGGGGGTGTTGTCATTAGAGTGGTTCCTGGGCAGCCACTCTAGTTAAAATGCCTCAGCATCACATACATTAAGCCTCTACACGTTTAAAAATGGCCACAGGATGCTGTATCTAAACCTCATTCGACAAGAGCCCTGTGGCTATTTTTAAATTCAGGAAGGCTTAAGACATGTGATGCTGTATTTGAATTGGAGCACAGCTCCAACATGTTCTAATTAGAATGCCAATGAGCATGTGCATAGGCAGCCAAGGGGTCTGACTATTTATCCCAGCAAGACATGGGTCTCTTGCCTTGTTCCTGGTCTTACAGTAAACAACTTTTGATCTGAAGGTACCTTGTATGTTTTATTTAAACCAGAAGATCATTCTACCTACCCTTTATCTAAACCAAGCTAATGATAAGGAGACTATTTGGCACTCTTGCTAAGGAATTTAAGGCATCTGATCTTACGATTGTCCTCTGCCAGGATCCCAGCTATCATTGCCTTAGGTAATGGGTGGTATAATGTTGACGCTCACCTAACTTATGCTATTTCTTACCTCCTCACTGTAAAGTCTGCTTGACAGGGCCAGTGTGCCTTTAATGTATGCCAACAGTTGCTCCAAATTGCTGGAATTTAGCTTACAAGGAGCAGAAGTTTTATCTGTTAATACTGCATCTCAGAGACACCAATCTAGAATGACTCACAGATCTATTGGCAGTAAGGTTTGACATTCTAGTTCCTTGTAGGCCAGGAGATCAGATAATCTAGTTTTAGGGGCCTGATCTTCCCCTCAGTCAAACAGTGATGGAGATTTCATCTGGAGAAAGAGGAAACAGAGCGCAGGAGAAAATTCTTTGGGCATCTACACACGTGTGGTGGGGTGGGGAATGCTTTAATCAGAGCGGCTCTCACATTGGTTGCTCAGAGTCGCACTAATTAAAGCACCCATAGTGTCATGTGTATTCAGTGTCCTGTGCCTCAAAATGGCAGTGGGGGCATTTTAATAAAGTTCGTTCGATGAGCTAGAATGTTAAATTACCCCTGCCACCATTTTGAAATAGAGGACGCTGAATACACATGGTGCCAAGGCTGCTGGAGGACACTAATTAGCATGCTCCAGCAGACTCTATTAACTGAGTCTGCTCCAACACATGCTAATCAGCACAGGTCAGAGCAGCGGTCCATCACGTGTATAGGTGCCCTTTGTGACAGAACTTATAAGGGAGTTTTTTTGAAGACAGTTACT